AAATGCGTCATCAGTTCACCAGACAACTCCCTTTGTATGGGTTGGCCTAGGAGGAAAAAACAAATTTCCTAATCCTAGCATCTACTTACTTTTCCCATCAGACTGTTTCTGTCAGTAATAAGCTGTGCTTGAATGTTTAAGATCATTTCTATCATGCGTGATTGATTAGAAACTTCAGTTTTCCCAGATGGCTTAGTATGTCTACTAGGGGGAGAAAAAGCAATGAGAAAATACATAATGTACTTTATTCATCAATGGGAAGAGAAGTAAAACTATTCAGCCGTTTGGTTGGTTTAAATCTATTGTATAATAACAGGCGTTTTAAAATGATTAGGTTTTGATCATACTTTGATTACTCTGGTAAGCACTTCTGTATTGTCTGTATGAGCTTGAGAGAGTCCACAGGTCAGATAAATTTTACAGTATGTGTCCTTACCTGTCTGGTTTACTTAACTTACAATACATTGGAACTTTATCCGTTTTGTTACAAATACTGAGATTTGCATTTCAAGGCAGAACAGTACGTGTGTGTATCTCAGGCATTTATCATTAAAGGATTGTAAAGGGATGTGTTTTTTCATATCATGGAATGTGTCAGTGGCCACAATGACACAGATATTCTGTAGCACATTTCTTGATTTGCCTATGCTCTATCTCTGCACTCATGAACAAGCCTACTTCTCATGGTATATAACTCTCTTAATATGCTATTGAACTCCAATAGTTGTTGTCTGAACATTTCTACGTCTTGTCTAACATTAGCCTGTAAATTGTTGTTTTTCTTTCGGGGAGGGGGAGTCTAGGAATCTTTTTCTGGCTTCCATAAGGATAAAACTGGTCTTAAAAGGCAAAACTAAGCTTTTTTTTTAATCAAGGTACAATGAGGTTCTTTCCATTAAAAAAATATTTTATTGAAAACACAGATTTACAGAGGAGAGACAAATATCTTCCATCCCCTAGTTCACTCTCCAGATGGTTGCAATGGCCAGAGCTGAGTCAATCTGAAGCCAGGAACCTCCTCCAGATTCCCCACATGGGTGCATCACCCCAATGCTTTGAGCCATCCTCTACTGCCTTTACAGCTTATAAGCAGGGAGCTGGGTGGGAAGTAGAGAAGCCAGGACAGGAACCAGTACATAGGATCCTTGCACTTAAGGTGGAGAATTAGCCAACTGAGCCAAAGCACTGGGCCCCAAAAACAAACTTGAATACATCCACCTTTCAAGTTTTTAAAGAGTGTCGAAAGAATTGGAATTGACTCTCTTTAATGCTTATTACTAATAACTTCAGTAAAGCTGCAGGATGGAGAATCAAAATATTTGCATTCTTACCTATGAAAAAACTTAATTTCACTCACAATAATGCCAGAAGAAATGAAGTCTTAGAAACAATTTTTAAAAACTATTTACGAAAGAGCACACTTTTATCTGCTGCTTACTGCCTAGATGGCCACAACTGTGCCTGAGCCAAGCAGAAACGAGGAGCCACAAGCTTCATCTGGGCTTCTCGTATGCTCTGCGCATCTTCCTCTGGTTTCCCAGGCCATTTGTGTGGATCTGATTTAGAAATAGCCTAGTCAGGACTCAGATCCACCACATGAAATGCCAGCAGGTTTATATGCTGTGCTAGAACACCAGCCCTTTAGATTTGTATTTGGAAACCATAAATTTTCAATAAAAGAAACTGAATAAGACACAACTGAAAAGACATCCCACCTTCATAGGTAAAAATTTCTAGTATCAGGCCCAGTGCGGTAGCCTAATGGTTAAAGTCCTCACTTTATACACCAGGATCCCATATGGATGCTGGTTCATGTCCCTGCCACCCTGCTTCCCATCCAGCTCCCTGCCTGTGGCCTGGAAAAACAGTTGAGAATGACCCAAAGCCTTGGGAACCTGCACCCGTGTGGGAGAGCAGGAGGAGGCTCCTGGCTCTTGGTCTTGGATTGGCTTAACTCTGGCCATTGTGGCCAGTTGGGGAGTGAATCAGCAGATGGGACATCTTCCTCTCAGTCTCTTCTCCTTTCTATATATCTGCCTTTCTAATAAAAATAAATTTTTAAAGAAACTGATAGTATCAGCATATCCACTTTACCCAAAGTAATCATTCAATGCAATACCTATCAAATCACAATCATATTTTTCACAGAAATAAGAAAAAGAACTCTTAAATCTACAAAATACAACCTGAATAGCTAAAGGCATCTTGAGTGGGAACAAACTTAGAGGTGTCTCCCTCTCTGAATGCAAAGTATATTCAAAACTGTAGTAAAATGGTATTTGAAATAAGACACTTTGATCATTGAAGCGAAATCAAGATTCCAGAAGTAAACTCTAATATATGCTCAAGTAATCATTTGATAGGGATGCCGATAAGTCAGTGAGGAAAGAAAAATCATAATAAATGCTAGGGAAAAATTGAATATCTGTATGCAATAGAATGAAATGGGACACTTAACCATTTATACAAATTAAGTTGAAATAGATTAGAAACATAAATGTTATATACTTAGGATATTATAAACCTGGAATAAGGAAACCATGCCTTGTAACATTGGCAAGGATTTTTTTAATATATATAGTACCAAAAACACAGAGAACAACAGCAAAAATAAGTATCAAACTATTAATCATAAAATTCTTTGACAAAATGAGTTTAATGTCTTTGGCATAAAATTAAAGTTTTGAAAGGGCTGTACTCTTTTCTGGAGACTCTGAAGTTGGACAAATTCAGTTCCTTGCAGTTTTCAGACTGAGGTCCCAACCAGTTGAGCTCACATACTCATGCTCTCTCTCTCTCTCTCTCTCTCTCTCTCTCTCTCTCTCTGATTTTGAGTTAATACATAATACTTACATATTATAGGTGATACGGTGCTACATATCAGTACAAACACAGCATAGATCAACCATACCAGGCAAACAGCTTTTCCGTTTCTTTAACTTTTCACTGTGTGTGGATCCTAACTGCTGCTCTGCTCCAGTTATTTATGCAGAATATGAGACGTTGTGCACTCCCCCTCTTAGCTCACAACTTTTCTTAGCTTGTAAAGGCCACCCACTTGGATAGGCCCTGACTCCTCTGTTTCTAAGTTAATGACAGGTCAAGTCTCTCTGACACTTCAAATCTTTTGTCTCTCTTCATAATATGATTAAATAATAAAGTAGTCCTCAAAGATGGTTATTTTAAATTCAAAACTCAAACTCTCTTATGCTTTAAAAAAAATTTTTTTTAATTATCTTATTGCCTGAGGTGTATGAGGTGTAATTATATATTTAAATAAATTAGGTCCAGGAGTACATTAGAAGAGCATTTCACTCCAGTGTTGCACAGTGAATGTGGGGTGTGTGTAATCACCTTGATTACCTGTCAGGCACCTTCTACTTTTCTCCTCTACATGCTCATTCCATCCCGGCCGGGCTGACTTCCTGTTCTTCCAGAGTAATTCCTCAGTCTACTTTGTGTTCATACCTAGAACGTTGACACTGATATTCATCCAGATGTTCCTCTCCCGGGCATCCTCATGGTCCCTTTCCTCACCATCCCTGAGTTTCTGTTTAGACATCAGCTCGTCAGTACGGATGTACCAAAATCCATTATTTGAAATGTCAGCCCAGCTCCCTTACTGTTGCTAAATCCATGTTCTTTCCCTTTTTTGCTTTATCTTGACCTTCTGAAATAAATCTCTTGGGTTATCACTTGCATTGTTTCTTGTTTGAGATGTGATTCCTACATTGTATTTAGTGAATCCAAACACCTAAAAGAGTAACTGGATCTGTCCAGATACATGAGTTTGCAATTTTGCTAGACACTGGATGTTACACAGTTGAGTACTTGGAACACATTTTTCCCCATGAAATCTTAACAGATTGGCCTCCAAACAGGATATTTTCCTTCCTTTCTTTATTTATTTGAAAGAGATAGAAAATGAGACCAAGAGATCCCATCCTGTGTTTGACTCCCCGTTGTCTGCAAGAGAAAACTAGCCCAGGCTAAAACAAGGAGCTTACAACTCAGTCCAGGACTTCCAGGTCGATAGCAGGGACCCAGTTATTTGAATTCTCACCACTGCCAGTCGGTTGTGGGAAATGGGAGTCAGGAACTAGAGCTGGGAATCAAATTCAGGTGTGAGCATCTTAAATACTATGTTAAATGTCTTCTCTCCATTGTAGATTTTGGCTTCTTCGTGTACATATTATATTGATATAATTATGAATCTTACACTTGCACTACTTTGTTAACACTAATTTCATCTTGTAATTCATTGACTGTTGAATCCTTTTGTAATGCTTTTGGATTTTTAAATTTAAGGACATGGGTCTGTAAGTGTTCAGTGCTGTTATCACTTTTACTATTACTATTATGTTACGCTGGGAAAAACAAATCAGAACTGTTTCTATCATTAGTCAGCTGCGATTGCCTAACAATGCCATGGCTTGGGAAGCTTAAATAGCAGTTGTAATTGTTCACTTGTGTAGACTGGGAAGCTCAAGGTCAGATTATATGTCAACTCAGTCTCCAGTGAGGGCTTTCTCCTTGGCTTATAAATGGATAACATCCTCTCTGAGAGAGAAAGGGAATTGGAATCTTGGAGGAGGGAGATAATACTCTGGTATCTTTTATTAGAAGGCCACCAAAGCTGCCAGGTATAAACTTACCTATTGATTGCATTCAACCTTAATTACCTGGCACAGGCCCTATATCCAAAGATACTATCCTATTGCTTAAGACTTCAACATGTAAATTAGAGTGGAGAAGACACAGTTCAGACAATGACATCATCTTAGCATGTTCTCTGAGCATACTAAATAGTCTGATAGGCTCACCACATATGTTTTGTGCCACTTTCACTTGTACCTTTTTAAATTCACTTGGTCTTTAATGAATTTTGTTTTTTTAAAGTTCTTAATGAGTGAAGCGAAAAATATATAAAGCCACAGCTTCTGGAAGAACCATTTGTTCTTGCCCATCTTGTGGCTCTCCTTAAACTTGATCTTGGCCTCTCAGTAGGCCTTGTGTTTCAGAGCAGAGTCTCTGAAGACATCCTTGTGGACCACAGTTTCATCCAAGGGAATATCCACAGAGTACCTGGGGGACAGGTGGTAGTTGTCGTTATACACCTTCACAAACAACTTGGTCTTGAATTGTTTGGCTATCTCCTCACCCATGACAGCTGTCACTTTGTAGGGATAGTGGTCAATGCTGGCCACCCGAGTATGCCTGTAGGAACGATCCAAGATGTTGTCATCAATGTCCTTCACAATGGCGAGCTTTGCCTTGCTTCTGGCCGTGACCAACACCACCTTCCTGGGCTTCATCAACTTGGCCCTTTCAGTGGCAACCACTTGGGCCCACTGACTTTTGTTAAATGGTATTTCTCTATCATTCATTTAGCTTTCATTCATCCTTCAAAAATCTCTTCCAGGGGATGGCATTATGGCACAGCTAGTTAAATTGCCGCTTGTAACACTAGCTTCCTATAGCAGGATTCAGGTACTGTCCTGGCTACTACATTTCTCATTTAGATTACTACTCATGCACCCAGGAAGGCAGTGGAATATGACCTGAGAACCTGGGACCCTGCCACTCACCTGGGAGATCTAGAAACAGTTTCTGCCTTTGTGCCTCCCCTAACTATTGTGGTCTTTTAGGAAGTGAACCGTAGATGCAATAAATTTCTTTTTTTTTTAAGATTTATTTTATTTTTATTGGAAAGGCGGATATACAAAGAGGAGAGACAGAGAGGAAGATCTTTTGTCCGATGATTCACTCCCCAAGTGAGTGCAACAGCCAATGCTATGCCGATCTGAAGCCAGGAGCCTCTTCCAGGTCTCCCACGTGGGCGCAGGGTCCCAAAGCCTTGGGCCGTCCTCGACTGCTTTCCTGGGCCACAGGCAGGGAGCTGGAAGGGAAGCAGGGCCACTGGGATTAGAACTGGTGCCCATATGGGATCCCGGGCGTGCAAGGCAAGGACCTTAACCACTGTACCACCGCGCTGGGCCCAATAAATTTCTTTCCATGTCTATTCGTCTCTGCCACTCTGCCTTTCAGATAAATATCAATAAAACTTTAAAAATCCCTTCCAGTATGCTTACAAGCACTTTCTCTTTCCAACATGGTCTTCTTTAAATTTTAAAATCAGGCTTATAAAAATCTAATCTATGTTATTATTCTTTCTACATATATAGCTCTTACAGTTTCAGATTTTTTTTAGTTCTACTTGATTACTTTCTACTTTAATCTTAATTCCTTCAAACGTCTCACTTTATTGTTCACTTTGTATTATTGAGCTGAATGTTGATATGCTGTGTTTTGTTTCTCTGTGGATTCCTTTGGGAATCGTTTATTCCTGCAACACTGTAATAAGTCCAAGTCTCATTAGCAATACTTACCAAAGTTTCGACTTTCACTGTTGAAATGTCTGCTCTTATCATTTTTTTCTATAATTGATGATTCCGAGTTAGGCTTCGTTAGGAAGTTTAGTTTTCAATTGGGTAAACTTTATTGTACTTAGATGTGCCTTGTTTAATGATGTTGAGGGCACATTCATACACCTGTTGGTCATTTTTATATCTTCTTGGGAAACTGTCTACCCAGATCTTTTCCCTGTTTAAAAAAAAAAAACTATTATTTGTTTTATGATACAATTCCATGGGCTCTAGGATTTCCTGTCTCCCTCCCAAAACTCCTCTCCTCCCCGCCTGATTTCCCCTCTATTACTTCAATGGGTGGTCCTTCATGGATAGTCACAAGTCCATCATTCCACTTTGTTGAAGTGTTTCCTGACATTGTAGATATGCCCGTTTTTTAAAAAGGTATTTTTACTATTTTATTTTTAGTTCTTTATACAGTTTAAATACGAACTTTTCAAAAAACCCATGACTTACACTTTATCCCATTCTATAAGATTCCATCTCATTTTCTTGATTATTTTCATTGCCATGTTGAACGTTTTTGGTTTGTGCAATACTACTTGTTCATTTTTCCTTTTATTGCCTATAATTTTGGGTCATAGCCAAAAAATTAACAGCCAAGATCAGCATCAAGAAAATTTCTTCCACGTTTTCTTCTAAGCATTTTGTCACGTTTGATCTTACATCTAAGTCTTTAATCCATTTTGAATTGATGTTTTTCATGTGATATAAGGGTCCAATCTGATTTTTTTCACATGTGGATATGCAGTCTTATCCACATTGAAGGGATTGTCTTTTCAGAATTGTGTCTTGATGTCTTGTCAAACATTACTTAGCCACATACACAAGTGTTTATCTGTTCTATTCCTTTGCCAAGGTGACTGCTTTCACTTGGTTTATTTTTTTAGATTTATCTATAGATTGCTTTGAGTAATGTGGACTACTTGACGCTATAATTATTCTGATCCATAAACATGTGATGACTTTTATTTGTATAGTCTCTGACTCCTTTCACCAATAATTTCATTTGGTGTGACATATCTATCTTGTCCTTGGTTAAATTTATACGCAAATATTTTATTTTTGATATTTGATTCTAGTGAAAGTGGAATTATATTTTCCACATAGATTGATTTATCTTTGAAGGAGTGGCAGAAAGAGAAGAGAGACAGAGAAGCAGTGAAAAAGGGAGAGTCCATTCTAGTGTCCACCAGGTCACTCTCCTGGAGATCCACAGTGGCCAGGGCTGCTGCAGGTCCACGACAGAATCCCAGACCTGCAACCAAGATTATCACATGCATGGCAGAGCTCCAAGCACTGGTCCATCTTATGCTGTTTGCCCAGGCACATCAGCAGGAATCTGGATCAGCCCCAGGGCAGCCTGCACTTGACCTGGCGCTCTGATTCAGGATGTCGGTGTTGCAAGCAGAGACCTTAAAAAAGATGACTTAATGGCTACAGAATTTGAGGGGACACTCCCTATTCCAATTCCAATGTTGTTGTTTTGTTTTCCCTCTTTGTGTTGGATGCTTTACAAGGGGTTTATTAATTGTGACTTGTTTTGCAAGACTAGATACTGATTTCATAGACTTCTTTTGTATTACTTTCTTACATGTAGTTCCATTGATTTCTATTCTTGATGCCTCCCCTTCTTTCTGCTTTGAGTAGGTTTTGCTGTTCTGTTCATGTTGGAGATAGCAAGTAAAAATATTGGTCTGGGATATAAAATTACTGATTTGAAATATGTCCTTATTTCCCAGCTAAATATTTTAATACTCTTAATTTTGCTTTTAGCAATTTTTTGCTGTATCTTATGTATTTTGATATATACTGTTTTTGTATTCTTTTTATGTAATGTTCATAATTCTCTTTAATTTGAGGTGTTTGCCAATTTCCATAGATTATGATGTTTACAAGTCTTTTAAAATTATTCTCATGTGGCTCCATTATCAGAAATGACACTATTTTAGCTTTTACAAATTTGCAGAAGGTTCCTGATGGCTCCATAATGATATTAGTGAATGCATCATGGCACTTTAAAGCATATACATCATTCTGACATTAATGTTCTTTTTGTGTCATGAGATTGTTTTGGTGCAGTAGTTGACTTAACTCTATATTCTTAGTGATTCTCTCCAGTGGATCTGCCAGTTTCAGACACCATGTCTACATTCTACAACTATCAGCATATTTGCATGTTTCTCCTTCAGACTTCTCAGTTTATATTTCAAATATTGTTCAGTATGCTCATATGTATTAGCATTGTATCTTTGGATAAATCCTTTCACTGTTTTGTGATATCTCACCTTTTTGTGATATTCCACATTGTATGACGTAATTGCATTTACTCCTAGATCCAGACTATCACAAAATAATATACGTATATGTTTTTGTTACAGTTTTCTTGTTAAACATTTTTAAACCCTTTATCAATTTTTGTTATTGAATTTGACATGGTTTCTTTATAAATAACATTTGGCTAAATCACACTTTCTCTTTTTCCATTTTTTAAATTACTGTTATTTTATGATACAGTTCTATAGGCCCTGGGATTTCATTTGCCCCCTCCACAAGTACCCCCCTGACACACGGAGTTCCCCTATATCATTACAATAGTTGTTCATTAACATTCATAAATCCATCATTGCAGGCATGGACAATGACAGTCCAGCATCCTATTGCCAAGATATATTTAAGTTTCATTAGGAATCCATATTTGATCTGGAAGTAGAGATGCATACTGCATTGAATCCTCACATCTGGATATGATAGTCTCCATTACACAGTTACCATACATTCCCTTAAATGAAAAGCCACAAAACAAAATCAACAATAGGAAGAAAAATAGAAATTTACATGCCAATATGTTAATAACATGCTACTGAATGACTAATGTGTTGCTAAAGAAATAAAGAAAATCAAGAACCTTCTTGAAGAAAATGATGCTACTCTATGACCTAGGAGTCAGTGTATAATTTAATATGAGAAACTGTTTTGAAGAAATAAAAACAAAAACAAAAATATCAAAATCCATAAAATATTGTTTTTGCTGATCATTGTTGGTGAGATCTATCTCCTGTAGGCAACAAATAGATGAATTTTGTTTTTAACCCAGTCTAATAATCTGACATTTGATTAATGAGTTTAAGCCATTTACATCCAGGGTTAAAATGAAGAGCTGGTAATTTGGTTGTGTCATTTTAGCAATGGGTTGTTCATTGATTTAGTCTTCTGTTGTTTTACTGAGATGTTCTTCACATTTGCCTTTGGTTTTAGTGGGTTCTATTCCTTTTCTCTGTCAAGAGAACATCTTCAAGTCTACAGTAATATTCATTATTCCTCTGTTTCTTTTGCCTTTGGTCATTGTACTTCTGGTTAGCAGATTCTTCTTTTTAGAGCAGGTTTGTAAGCTGTGCCACTCACTGCTTAAAATAATTTTTTAAATTACTAAGTTTTAAAAAATTAATTCTATTTTAACTTACTGTGGTTGGTACCCAGTTCTTCTACTCCCTCCAGCAAGTTCCAGGTCTGAGCTCTTGTGTTAGGCTTCCACCATGATCTCTGTAGGCCCAGCTCCTGGCTCACCTTCTATGATCCCAACTTCTGTGATCCTATGCTGAGGCTGCACTGTTGTGTATACAAACTTTATCCCACTTCCGGTTGGAGCAGATTCCAGGATTAGGGAGGTAGCAGGTGTCCTAAACAGCTAGGTTGTTGGTGGTGCTGATCTTGCTGGAACCTGCAGGCCTTTAGGTCTGAGGGCTATACGGACCTATTTTGAGTCATAAGATGCCAAAATCAGTATTTTCTGTGAGGGTTCTACAATACATTGAGCTGTAATGAATTTGCTTCCAGTTCAGCGTATGCACAGCTCACTATTGTCCCTCCAATCTCAAAGCCTTTGC